ACAGAGGGATCGGCAGGCCCTACATACCAGTGCGACGCCAGTGGCCACCAGAGCTGACCTGACGAATACTACTGAGGGAAAAACTTTCCAGCAGTGGTGCTCTGGGAGAGCACACACCTACATTGGAATGGAAAGGAGTAACACATCGCGAGAACAACAGTTACGGGTTAGTAACCATTTTTTCAGCCAGTGTTATGAGCCAGGTCCTCTGTATATTGCAGCCAGAAATTGGGCTCCAGAATCTCAGCTTCCCTTTAAAGTGTGTCTGTCTGTCTGTCTGTCTTATTCTGGCCTTATGGTTGTCCAGTACTCCTACCAGAAAGAAGATTCTGAGCTGGGCTGCCTGGACAATATTGCAGGAGCCAAGGCCTGGGGAACAGGCAGGCCCACCTGGAGAGCATAGACACTGAAAAACCTGTTCTTAAAAAAAAAAAAATCACATATTTACACCTGACTATTCAAGTACGAGCTAGTTGTTAGTGTCAATAAGGAATATTTGATGGTGGTAGAATATTAGGAAGGGACAGGTATTAGTAATGGGTGATTCGATCATTAGAAACATAGATAGCTGGGTTTGCGATGAGCGGGAGAACCGCATGGTGACTTGCCTGCCTGGGGCGAAGGTTGTGGATCTCTCCAGGCATTTAGATAGACTTATCTGAAGTGCTGGGGAGAAGCCGGTGGTCGTGGTACATGTAGGTACCAATGACATAGGGAAGGGTAGGAGAGACGTCCTGGAGGCCAGATTTCGGCTGCGAGGTAAGAGATTGAAGTGCGCGGCGCTCGGCGGGGGGGCTCGGGGGGCGGCGCTTTTTTTTTTGCTGCTTGGGGCAGCAAAAATGTTAGAGCCGGCCCTGTCTTCGTTTAGTCCTATCTGGTCCAAGAGGTGAATATAGCTGGACCGCTTGGTAATAGTGACCATAATATAATTAAATTTAACATCTCTGTGCCAGGGAAAACAGCACAGCAGCCCAACACTGTAGTGTTTAATTTCAGAAAGGGGAACTACACAAAAATGAGGTTAGTGAAACAGAAATTAAAAGGTAGAGCATCGAAAGTAAAATCCCTGCAAGCTGCGTGGAAACTTTTCAAAAACACCCATAATAGAGGCTCAACTTAAATGTATACTGGAAAAACATAAGAGAACCAAAAAAGAGCCACCGGGGCTAAACAACAAAGTTAAAAGAAGCAGTGAGAGGTAAAAAGACATCCTTTAAAAAGTGGAAGTTATATTCTAGTGAGGAATATAGAAAGGAGCATAAACTCTGGCAAATGAAGTGTAAAAATATAATTAGGAAAAAAGATTTTGAACAGCTACCCAAAGACTCAAAAAGGTGGAGCATAAAAATTTTTAAGTACATCAGAAGCAGGAAGCCTTCTAAACAAACAGTGGGGGCCACGGGACGATCAAGATGCTAAAGGAGCACTCAAGGACAATAAGGCCATTGCGGAGAAAATAAATGAATTCTTTGCATCAGTCTTCATGGCTGAGGATGTGAGGGAAATTCCCAAACGTGAGCCATTCTTTTTAGGTGACAAATCTGAGGAACTGTCCCAGATTGAGGTGTCATTAGAGAAGGTTTGGGAACAAATTGATGAATTAAACAGCAATAAGTCACCAGGACCAGATGGTATTCACCCAAGAATTCTGAAGGAACTCAAATGTGAAATTGCAGAACTACTAACTGTAGTCTGTAACCTATCATTTAAATCAGTTTCTGTCCCAAATGACTGGAGGATAGCTAATGTGACGCCAATTTTTAAAAAGGGCTCCAAAGGTGATCCCGGCAAGTCAGTAAGCCTGACTTCAGTACCAGGCAAACTGGTTGAAACTATAGTCAAGAACAAAATTGTCAGACACATAGATGATCATAATTTGTTAGGGAAGGGTCAACATGTTTTTTCTAAAGGGAAATCATGCCTCACCAATCTGCTAGAAATATTTGAGGGGGGGTCAAGTACAATATGTGGACAAGGGGGATACAGTGGATATAGTGTACTTAGATTTTCAGAAAGCCTTTGACAAGGTCTCTCACCAAAGGCTCTTAAGCAAAGTAAGTTGTCATGGGATGAGAGGGAAGGTCCTCTCATGGATCAGTAACTGGTTAAAAGATAGGAAACAAAGGGTAGGAATAAATGGTCAGTTTTCAGAATGGAGAGAGGTAAATAGTGGTGTTCCCCAGGGGTCTGGGGAACCACTCCTTTTCAACATATTCATAATTGAGCTGGAAAAAGGGGTGAACAGTGAGGTGGCAAAACTTGCAGATGATACAAAACTACTCAAGATAGTTAAGTCCTAGGCAGACGGCGAAGAGATAGAAAAGGATCTCACAAAACTGTGTGACAGGGCAACAAAATGGCAGCTGAAATTCAATGTTGATAAATGCAAAGTAATGCACACTGGAAAACATAATCTCAACTATACATATAAAATGATGGGGTCTAAATTAGCTGTTACCACTCAAGAAGGAGATCTTGGAGTCATCGGGGATAGTTCTCTGAAATCATCCTCTCAATGTGCAGCGGCAGTCAAAAAAGCAAACAGAATATTGGGTATCATTAAAAAAGGGATAGATAGTAAGGCAGAAAATATCATATTGCCGCTATATAAATTCATGGTATGCCCATATCTTGAATATTGTGTGTACCCTATCTCAAAAAAGATATATTGGAATTGGAAAAGGGCAACAAAAATGATTAGGGGTATGGAACGGCTTCCGTATGAGGAGAGATTAATAAAACTGGGACTTTTCAGCTTGGAAAAGAGACGACTAAGGGGGAATGTGATAGAGGTCAATGAAATCATGACTGGTGTGGAGAAAGTAAATAAGGAGGTGTTATTTACTTCTCATAACAGAAGAACTAGGGGTCACCAAATGAAATTAATAGGCAGCAGGTTTAAAACAAACAAAAGGAAGTATTTTTTCACACAACGCACAGTCAATGTGTGGAACTCCTTGCCAGAGGCTGTTGTGAAAGCCCAGACTATAACAGGGTTCAAAAAAGAACTAGATAAATTCATGGAGGATAGGTCCATCAACAGCTATTAGCCAGGATGGGCAGGGATGATGTCCCTAGCCTCTGTTTGCCAGAAGCTGGGAATGGGTGACAGGGTGGATCACTTGATGATTACCTGTTCTGTTCATTCCCTCTGGGGCACCTGGTATTGGCCCCTGTCCAGGATACTTGGCTAGATGGACCTTTGGTCTGATCCAGTATGGCCGTTCTTATGTAATAAACTGTGATTATGGCTAGTTACTCTCCATTGTTGGAATCAGGAGTAATTGACTGTTTCCTTAAGGGTTGCCTACAGTGAAAAATCATTTTATTCCTGAGACAAAGGGTCTGGGCCCTCTGTCCACAATTTGTAGTTCATGATGACAAACCCTGCTTAGGGGTGTTTATTAATTGTACTTCTACACTTATAGCGGCATGTAGAGACACTGCATGCCCAGCTAGCATGGCTATAAATAGGGCCCTACCAAATTCATGGTCCATTTTGGTCAATTTCGTGGTCATAGGATTTTTAAAATTGTAAAATTCGTGATTTCAGCTATTTAAATCTGAAATTTCAGAGTTGTAATTCATCATATCATAGAATATCAGGGTTGGAAGGGACCTCAGGAGGTCATCTAATCCAACCCCCTGCTCAAAGTAGGACCAATCCCCAGACCCTAATTATAGGGTCCTGACCCAAAAAGGAGTTGTGGGAGGGAGTCACAAGGTTATTGTAGGGGGAGGGTGTGGTATTGCCACCCTTACTTCTATGCTGCTGCTGTCTGGGCGCTGCCTTCAGAGCTGGGCACCTGGCCAACAGCTGTCGCTCTCCGTCAGCCCAGCTCTGAAGGCAGCGCAGAAGGGTACCAATACTCCAACTTCCCTAAAATAACCTTGTGATCCCCCCCCCCCCCCGAAACTCCCTTTTGGGTCAGGACCTCCAATTTAAGAAATGTTGGCCTCCCCCATGAAATCTGTGTAGTATAGGGTAGAAACACACAAAAGACCAGATGTCACAGTCTGTGACCCGTTTTTCCTGGCTGTGAATTGGGTCGGGTCCTAGGTATAAATAGCAGTGTAGATGGTGAGGCACAGCTTAGGTGAATAGAGTGCCCTACACGCCTGAACCCTAGGGTATAAACCCTACATGCCTCTCTCTGCCCAGCAGTGCTGCTCCCGTCTACATTGCTACTTTTAGTAGTGTAGTGTCCTGCTACCGGAGCCATTCCCAATGCAGCAAAAGGCTCTGGCAGCGGGGAAATTAATTAAGCCTTTGAAAGGCCGCCATTAATCATTGTTCTTGGGTTTTCTGCCACCCAAATGGAAATCCTGACGAAAGGTAATTGTAGTTAATAAAACCTTGCCTTGCTGCATACGGACACATGAGGGACACCAAGGGAGAGACATGTCTGAACATACAAGCGGACCCCGTGATAGGGACTTGAAAAGCAAGCCCTAGGGACAGCACAAGGGTGGCTGCTCTCTGGACAGCAACTGTCACTGACAGGCAGACCAGAGTGGTCAGAAAGAGGGGTTGGAAAAGTCATATTTTGGCTGTCTACAGGCAACAAGTAGAGCTATGCAATAGAACTATTGATTTACACTAATGACAGAGTGCCTTGTTAACATTGTAAAATAGTAAGTGAAGTGTTAAATGCACTAAAATATACTTAGTTTCTTAAGTGTAGTTTAATTTCATTTATTTCACAGTACAGCAGCCAAAGGTTCTTTAGTATATTTAAGAATAATAAAATCTTTTATATATATATATATATATATATATATATAATGGAGATATCCCATCTCCTAGAACTGGAAGGGACCTTGAATGGTCATCGAGTCCAGCCCCCTGCCTTCACTCGCAGGACCAAGTACTGATTTTGCCCCAGATCCCAAAGTGGCCCCCTCAAGGATTGAACTCACAACCCTGGGTTTAGCAGGCCAATGCTCAAACCACTGAGCTATCCCTCCCCCATATGAATCTCCTATTGTACTGTCTCTTCTGTTAGAGCTGAGCTATGAAGTATGACAAAACCAGGGGTTTTGTGAGAATCAGCAAGGCTGTGGATTAGCAGTGAGAACCTACAAGGCTGTACTGTAAACAGTATTTTGGTGCATAAACTGATTTTGTCACTAGTTTTCTTCAATACACAACTTTCTTTACAAAAACATTTTATTGTCAAGTTTTTCATTAACTTGCAATTTTGTAACTAAATGTACTGCTTTTCTGTATTCAAACAATTTTAATATAATAAGACAAAATAACACATGGAAGCCATAAGTGTTCTTACTGCAGTATTTGACTTCCTAACTATTTTACATAGAATGATTTTTCAGAGGATGACCACCAGCCAGCCTCAGGTGTTTGCAAGCAACTAATGGACACCACCTCTCACCATTGCAGTTAAAACAGAACTACTTAAACATTAACACACCGTAAATTGAGAAAATTTCATTAAAAAAACCTTCTGCTTCTTCAAGTGCAAGTCTTGTTAAATTCCTCTTTGGAAAGCCTTAACAATTTTTAATAATGATTTTGTCTGCTATGATGAGCAGACATTGAATCAGACACATCACATGATAGGGGGCTGCCGCAACTGGAGTGATTTTAAAAAGTGGCTTGTGGAGTATTTAAAAAAAGCTTGTACGGAAGGTATTTAAATTTAAGTGTTTATCACTCCTTGAGCCACAGTAAAAATTAAAAAGGAAAAGGACAAATAAAGTTATTGCAAAAGTGAGGTATAAAATATGAGTAAAACACCCAATTGTTTTTCTGTGCACCCTATCTCTGAAAGTCACTTTTATACACTGACCAGATGCCGTTTCTGTCAGTAGAAAATCTTTAATATGGAAGTTGATATCAAGAGAAGTATTGGTTATTCAGACACTGAACTAGATGCACTAGCTATATTTTCCTGGAAAGGAATTACTTCTTTTAAATCTTGCAGTAGCTCAATCTGAGTATCCAGTCTTTTCCGGGTTTCCAGAAGCTCCTGAAGTTTTTCCTCTGTTCCTATAATAATAAAAAAAAAAAAAAAAATTCACAGTAAAGAACATAAATATATGCACATTCAAATTATTAAAGCCACAGGTATCACTCTATTGCTAGAGTAAGAATTGTGACTTCACATTAAATCTCCATACCTTTCTCAAATAAAATTCCTTAGGCTAACTACTACTATGCTTGGTCTCTACCACAAGGTGGAATTTTACTTCATTTGAGCAAAATTAGTTTAAGCACTGGAGTTATAGAATTGTGGAGGAGGGTGCGGGGGAATAATTTGTGCATCTGTTCCATCAGAAATTATTCTGTCATATCTGAAATTATAGTAACATATTGAGAGATTTAAATCAAGCCAGGTTTAAAAACGTGTTTTTTTAGGTTATGAATATTTCAAGTTGCTAACACTGTACATGAGAATAATTGTTCTATTTTCAGGATCCATTTGTTAGGGACTCAACTGCTGAGGCCACACATGCCATCTTTAAATATGTTAAATGCTTAAAACAGCTTCCTTTAAAACTTGGATTGTTTTGTAGATCTGAGGTTTTAAAAAACTGACATGTTTGAGGAAAGTCAGTTCAGTAACTTTGAATGTTTGAAGTTAGCAAATATATCTGTACCTCACAATACAACTGATACCTCTATTGTATAAAGTCCACTGCATCATTAAAAATACACTTTTTTTCAAAGGAACATGTACAAGGTGAAGGTACAATTGCAAATTCAACTTTAAAATGTCTGGAATGTAACTTCATTTTTCACTTGACACTGCTGTCATGTTATCTTTTGCATTTACATTTCCTTGACTTTTTAAAAGGGAAGCAAATAAGTCACAGTGCACTCAGATTCATATTGATCTTTAATGGTAATAAATGAGTCAAGACTGGGTAGTCTTTCATGCATTTAAGGAAGCTGCTAAAGAAAGAGTCTCTAAGGGAAGTGCCCTGCATTAATAATGAACAGAAAAGTTCTTAGGAACATGCAAAGTGCCATGGTTAAGTGTTCACAACCTTAAAGTTACTGACCAGATTTTGTTCAGAACTTGAATTGATTTCCCCACCCCCATCAATGAGATCTACAAAAAGATAAACTTGAAGTTCCTAGCTTCAACCAAGTCAATTATGTCACACACAATAATTTCAATTTTAAGAAAGAGGTAGAGTGTTTTCTTATGCTTCCAAACCTCAAAAGTGGGAAAGTCATTTAGCTCAATTGGGGAAAAAATGCTTATGGCTGCTCGTTTTGAATTACTGGGTCTGACCAATTAGTTATGGGTAAAGATACCTGGTTAATTTAAAAGTCCTAAACTTTTTTTTTTAAAAGGCACAAAATTTTTATTTATAGTCAGTGGTAGCCTAATATATATGACACTTGCAGTTTCCATTTACCTCAATGGGATTTATAGATACTCAGCCAGTAGTGTAGCCAGGGTTGCAGCCGAGGAGGAGGGGCGGAGAAAAAAGGCGCCGGTCCTTCAGTGGCATTTCGGCGGCCCTGTGCATGCGCCGAAATGCCGCCGAAAGATGGAGCGGCGCATGCGCAGGGCCGCCCCGCTTCCCTATCCACACTGTTCCACCGGCCGCCGGGAGCCAGCCCGCGGCCCCGTTCCACCAGCCACCTGGAGCGGCGGGAGGCAGGAGTCAGCAGGCCAGCCCATGGCCCCGTTCCGCCGGCCGCCCAGAGCGCCGGGAGCCAGCCTGCGGCCCCGTTCCGCAGGCGCCACTTTTGGGAAATGTGATCAGGGGAAGCGGCCGCTTCCCCTGAACCCTGCTAGCTACGCTACTGTACTCAGCCCTTCTGCAAATCAGACCATCAAATTATTAAAGAGAGACTTGGCTGCTGCCCTAGGTCCGAGCTATGACTGAAAAATACTCCCTTCTGTGCAGTCAGATGTAGCTTGTATATTCTCATGACTTCCATGGCTGTTTCAGAATGCCATAAAGTCAACACTGAAGGACAAGCAGGGGAAAGGGCCAAATTTTCAAAGAGCAGCCTTCATTTGGATGCACATGCTCCAGCTCTAATTTCCAAAGCATCTATCATCTTGTTATCAAAGCACACTGGTATCAGTGCTCAGAAAGTTTGCAAGCAGGCATTTGCAAAGTTGTGCATGCACAAACAGAGACTGAGCAGAGACTCCTTTGAAAAATTTGGCCCAAAATCCACAACAGTGTATTCTCCCTTCTCCTTGATATGCTGTTTTCAAAACTGGTTGTTTCTGTAAACACATTAACAAATACACAACAGAAGGGGAACATATTCCTTCCAATACACTTCAGCTGCCTTCTCAACTATCTTCCTCTTAATTTCCCCCATTTTCATTCCTTTCCTTTCCCTCTGGTTTTTAGACTTCTTTCAAAGCATCTTACTGTTTGCACGACTTCTGAATAAGTACCATTTAAAGTGGGTGGAGCTCCCTGAACTACCTGTTGCAATCACGGAAGGAGAAGAGCCTGTTTAAACTGTAAATCTGAAAGATATGAGTTCTGTCTAAAATGACTGGCTGAGTGGGGGTCTTGGAGATATATAGGAGAAGAAACAATGCATTGGGAAATCCTGTGATATCAGCGCATCATGTAGGAGAGAGGCAGGGTCCGCTGAGTCAAGAAGTCATATGAGGTTCTTAATACTCAAATAGTTAAAACCATAGAAAACCCTCTTGTCCTGATTCAAATAAGACAGACAAACCTGTGCAATATTATGTTTCTAAGGATAGTGATGCCAATGATTTCACCTGGGCGTTCGTACAACATTAAGAAAGCTTTGATTTTAAACTGATACTATACCATAACCATCAGAAGAATAACCTTAATTCTAATAACTACTCCTTTGGGAGGGTTACTTTATATAGTAGCATATATATATTTACATACCTGAATGAACATTTGTAAGTATATTTTCAAACAGGCTACAGTCAAAAAGTGATATTACTGTTTCCTCGTATTCTAGGGGTTGAAAAAAAAGTTGATTTACTGTTACATGTTAACATAGAACTTAAAAATTGCCCAATGGTAACTACCCATCTGTACACTACACCAGTTGTTTCAGTTATGAGGCTTTTAAGCTCAGAAAGCTAGAATGCTGGGAAAAATACTAATCTCCCTTCTCCCATTTTATACCAAGGAAGAAGTGTCAATTTCACAATTTTACTTCACTAATTTCCTATGGAAAATAAAATATAAATGGGATCCTCATTGTGTTTTACATACAGTCTACACCCCTTTAATAGGGATCCATTTAAATGGGAGCTGTTTGTCTGGTAACCAAGTTCATGTAATGTATTTAATAAATTTTAAAATCTAGTTATTGGTCACCTCTGGGACCATGTGCCAGATGATAGAAGTGGCTGGAAGCCAATTTAATTGCTATTTGCAAATCACATGACATGAAAGTGCCCAGTCGAAGACGCTAATAAATTGTTTACATTTCTAAATGCATGAAGTGACTTTGTAGCATCCTTAAATATTGTTTATTAACATAATATCATTAAATTAAGCTTTAGTGCCAGGTTTTCTCTCAGTAAAACACAGATAATGCTTACACACCTCACATGGGTGTTCACAGGATTACTTAATTCATGTTTACAAGGTGCTGTGAGATTCTAAGATGTGAATAAGTACTTTTTTTATTACTTCTGGCAATTTTTGCTATACAAAAACCTCTTCTCTTATTTGGGAGATTTAGTTAATTGGGTTATTTCTCTTTCCTTAACAGTGTTGACTACATTAATATCCTTCATCCCCAAAAGGATAGTCTACTGCTATATTTTGAAAACTGAGAAGGCTAATCCCACAGAGTGAAATTTGAAATTCTCTTTAATGTTGCTTTGTCCATAAGATTATTAAGCTGGGTTGACTGCTTCAAGAACAGTGTTTTGTACAAGTACTGTAGCTATATCAGAACCCCCAATATATTTTAAATTAATGTTAATCTAAATAATCTATTACAAGACTCAATGCATTCTTATGCAGTTTTTTTCATATACTGTATAGATTGCTCATCCCTCTGTGATGAACTAAAACACAACCCCAGTCCAGATAAAATCTTCACAACCCTTCAAACACTCTTTTCTTAAAATGCTTGGTACATCTTGCAGCATCCCTGGGATCTGGCAGACTAAGCTGTGTGTATATGTTGGGGGAAGGGGCTTGTTTAACAAAGTCCCGACTTGAGGCGCTTTCACAGAGAATGACTTGTTAACAGCTCCTTGCCCCCATGCCACTAACACCCTACTGAAGTAGTATAGCAAAGGAAGCCAGAGATGGTCTCTTAGGTAACCAACACCCAAACCATTTAGGGCTCTAAAAAGGTGAAAATGACCCCGAGTTAAAGGTACCAAGAATTAAATGGCTCAGCTCAGAATCTGTCCGAAGCAGAGTTCCTATTTGTTCACAGTACCTGTTTCTGAAGTGGTGTCATCCATCAGTTTTTCCTTTGCAAGGTGAAGTGTGTCTAGCATTTCTTTAAATATGCCATCCAGAAGTCCAGCCTGCTTGCACTTCCTAAGAAAGTCTATTCTTGCTGTTAAAATATAGAACACACACTTCTACTGAAATTGTGTCTCAGCACAGATACTGTAGTTCATTGTATCTCAAAGTCCTTTACACTAATTGTAGCAGCTCCTATTCGCGCTCTCCTAAATGTGACTGAACGTGGCTAAACTAATGGTTCTAATTCTACCTCCTCAACCCTTTCAGATGAGGCACTGAAAGGGTCAGAAGCCAATAGGCACAGTGCCAGTAATAAACCCCTCTCAATTCCAGGCAGGCAAAGTGCGTCACCACAATCCTTCATTAGATTCATATTCCTTCATGAATCTCTCAGTCTGGTAAATCAGATAGCTTTCACTACCTCCTCTCTTAATGCTGGTGCATGGTTTGATCAGGAAGGGGGAGAAATCGTTCTAATAAGGAACAATTTGAACAGGATTTGGCTGAAGAACAGTATCCGTTCCTGAACATGGATCTCCCAAATGACACAGCAATTCACTTGCCTTATTGCAGGTCCACTTTATATGGCAACTTTGCGGCTGTTGGAAAACTAGGAAAATATATGTACCCATGTTTTTCTCCCAGTCTGTCTCAGGACAGTCATCAATTATGCTAAAATAAATGGGGTGTTTGAAAGGAGGGACATGTGTACACTTTGTATTAAAGTGTGAACCTCCTTTGTGTTGAAAAAAGATAAACTGTCTCTTTATTTGAAGGGTTTGAGTAAAGACCTCAGGAGAAGGTATAACAAATCCCATTATTAAAGCATGGGTCCTCGATTAAAAGGGCTGCTGAGCACACCTGGGCAACTTTGGGGAACACGCCAAAACCAAAAAATTACTCTTCACTCTGGGTTTGTTTCTTTCGCAGGACATTTTCATGAAAACAGGCTGTTTTTACAGGATTATTTGTTCCTGCAGTTTTCCCCCCCACTTCAAATCAGGATCTTAGGTTTTGACATCAGTTAGTTATTGTGAAGAGGATTATGAGGATGTAGCTCTAAGAATTAGGACTGCAGGTGAAGAATAAATTACAGGAGCAAGTGTCAGAGTTAAAAAACTAATTTATATATAATTTTGTTATTGATGGGACATTGCGAGAAAGAAAGTACAGCTCTGCTTATACCAGATATCCTATAATATATAAATAAAATGTTCCAGCATTTTCTATGAGGGTCTTCTGCTCGTTGAAGTACAGTTATAGCAGTAATACAGAGTGGTATAATTTTTTAAAAAAATACATGGTAATGTATTTCAAGCACACTGAATTTAGCCACCCATACACTGTAGGTAAATGCCACTTTTGCCTCTTTAATACAAACTCTCTCATTATTTGGAAGAGTAATCCCAATGGGTAATTACAACAATGCTTTTTGTGCAGTATAAAACATTGGAAAGGAACGCTAACTACTAAGCAGGCTGCTCGACAACTTGCTTTACTACAGAAAGATGCAATTACAACAGATAAATCAAATAAAACACACACGTTACAATGCATTTTATAATACAGTGTACATCCACTATTCAAAGACTGTGCTTCCCTTTGAGGTAACTGCATGGTGGCCTAAAACATTTTGAGGGGCAGGTTATCAACCAGCAGTAACTAGAAACATCTTTGAATAGTTTTTGTACTGAAATGGGCTTGACATCCTCTCACCTGTACTCTTAACTGGCTACTGGCCTCGTCTCCACATCTTCCTAGCCACAACTAAGGGGATGTTCATAAATTAGGTAACACATTTTTTTGGTGACTTTCAAGACCCACCTACCCCTTTGTAACACTCTAACAAATGCAGAATTAAGCATGTGTTCTATAACTTATGAATATTCCCTACAATGGTTACCTCAACTTCTGGCCCCACTAACCCATGTCACACCAGCCTTCTCAATAACTCTACTGCCTGTTCCTCCTTCCCCTTTAAAGGAGGCTAATGTTAATTTTCCAGCTAAGAGTAAATTTCCTTTCTAAATGTAATCTCATTTCATATCTGGAGGGAGGGGCGGGGGCAGAAGCTTAGCCATCCATGTTTGCTGTGGGCCTACGGATGAGGAGTTCTGAGACCAGCAGCCACTCAGGGTAAAGGGATTATATAACCACTGGGGAATAATTGACTCTTATTGGATAATAATGGCCCTCAGCCAAAGCAGTGGGATTTGCTTCCTGCACAATTATTTTGAAATCACACAGCTGTTCTGCAAATCAGAACCCCACTCTCTTGCCAGCGCGCAGAGAATTGGCCGACTGAGAAAAAAAGGAAAAGTAAAGCTGTGATTCAGCTGCTAGGAAGTGACCTGACCTCACACTGGCCATTTCAGTACAATTTATTATAGCATCAAATCGTGGTGGTAATATTAATTATTTGTCAAACCTTTGTGTTTGTTATGTTTTTTCCTTAAAAGTCGTAAACTATTTTCTGCTGCTGTCTCTTCTGTGCTCTGTTGAAAACAAAACAAAACACTGTACGTTTATACCAGTAGGGACGTTTACTGCTTAGAGGAAAGAAAACAACTATTTCCACATTTACTAAGGCTATGTCTACACAACCGACCTTACAGCGGCACAGCTGTATCGCTGCAGCTGCGCTGCTGTAAGGTCTTCTCTGTAGCCGCGCTACGCCGGCAGGAGAGAGCGCTCCCAAAACCACCCCCCAACAAGCAGCGGTAGCTATGCTGGCAGGAGCGTGTCTCCCGCCAACATAGCGCTGTCCACACCGGCACTTTTATTGGTGAAAGTTATGTTGGTCAGGGTGTTTTTTTTCCACACCCCTGGCCGACGAAAGGTTTGCCAACAACAGTGCTAGTGTACACAAAGCCTGAGAGAGAAAAACGGCCAGTATTAAAATAGTTATACCCAGTTTTTCAAAAAGTCATTCATTCTGTTTGTTTACAGTCAATTAAAAAGTAAACAACTAAAGAAAGGCAACAAAAATAGTCTGACTAAAAAAACCCCCCTCTAAACTGAACACCACCCTTTTCTATTGTTAGTGTTCTGTTCTCTCTGAATAACCAAAATAAACCCATACCGATATGATCTGTATGTGAATTTATAAGGCGCTGTGCTGGTATAATAGACGTGCCATTCTAACATTTAATCCACACATCCATAGAAGTGGATAAGTTGTTAGAAAGGCATGAAGCTGTTGGAAAAATTTTTTACACTTTGGACTATTCCAGATCATGGAGGTGTTTCTGGTTAGTCCTGTGACAAGTGATTTACGTTGAATTAACTAAATGCATATGGAGCCCTTCTACGTCTTATCTCCTGTGTCGGTATTCATTTCGGAAGTACTCTAACGTGGGAGAACTGCGGAAGCAGCGCTGCATGCATATTGGGCCAAATTCATCCCTGGAGTAATTCCACTGTTTTGTAGCCCAGCGTCGCCTACATTTCTGAACGTCCGGGCTGCTGCCCTCCTCTGTGCAGCTCATGGAGGGGGATCAAAGTCTTGGTGCAGCGTGCATTGGCCACACCCCCTCTGTTCCTGCTTGCTGCCACATTCTCTTAGGGTGACCAGACAGCAAGTGTGAAAAATTGGGACGGGGGGAAGGGGGTAATAGGAGCCTATATAAGAAATATATATATAAAATCGGGACATCTGGTCACTCTACATTCTCTGCCTCCATGGCAGTGTGTGGATGGTGGTTCTGTTCCTCCCGCCTATTTTCTTCTTTTCAGGGTTCTGTTTGGCTATTTTTAGGGCAGTGGTGAGCAGTGTTCTCCCTCTCTAGCCTTTCCCTCCTCCCTGGGCCTGTTCTCAGTTGGGTGACATAACCCATCCTGAGCCTCCGCTGTGGTGCCTCCCTGCTGGCTCCTCTGCTCCTCTCAGGCATGGTAGAGCAGCCTAAAAAGCACCAAATCAAATCTAAATGGTGCTCCACCTGTGAGACAGCCTTCCTGGGCTTGGCCGATGGTAAGTTGTACCCAGCCTTCTGTTCCTAACTCGGTCAGGTCCCAGGGTTATGAGTCAGACAGGTATGCAGGGTACCGCACGCACCAGAGCAGCTGCAACTCCGATGTGGGGAAAACGGACCAGGAGTCTCTGGGCAGAGCAGCAAGAGGCTCTGAAGATGAGGAGGACCCTAGCCAGCCAATTTGGGGGTAAGTCCCAAAGGGCCCCTTTGTGGGGCCACAAATTCCCCCCCCCCTTCTCCAAATCTTAAAGTGGGTCCTGAGTGCCCAGGGAAAAGAAGCAGGGCTCATAAACAGCCATCCTCTTTCCTAATTCAACTAGTAGGACTCTGGCATTGTATCCCCTCCTCCCCTCCCTAGGGGAATCGGACCAATTGGGGGAGGACTCAAAGAGAGCTCTCTTGAGAGGGCTTCAGTCCCTTAGGAAGGCTAGCCACAAAAGGACCAGCAAAGCCTCAACAGAGCTCATACGCTCTCAAAGTGTGCAAAAAAAGTTAAGAAATCAAAGAAAGGAAAAGAGAGGAAGAAAAAGCACAAAAGATCCAGGAGCTACAAATCCTGACTCATCTTCCTCCTTCGCTGAGGATGGTGAATTGTTGGACTCTGACACCAAATGGGACCAGGGAAACCAAAGATCTCTCCCCCCCCCCCCCCAAAATTTGAGGCCATATGCAGCAAGGTTGTCTCCACTATTCAGATTCAACCCGAACAGACTCCCACAAGTAAGCCTCAGAATAAATTTCTCCCCTCAAAATCGTCCCTGGAGCTGCAATTCCCCTACACTCCTCCTTTGAGGAAGTGATCAGGGATGAATGGGATAAACCCAATGAGGGCATTCACATTAACAAAAATGACCTCAGGTTCTATAAGATTCAGGAACCAAAGGACCCTATTCAGAAATACCAAAGGTTGACACCTCTGTAGCATCCCAAGTAAAATATATGGTCACCCCCTCAGAAGGGGAGTCCGATCGTAAGAACCCCACGGATAGAAAGATGGAGGCCACTCTCAAAAAAGACTTTGAGGCCTCAGCCCCCTCAAGGCTTCCCTACCAGCCACCAGCTTTGCAAGGACATCTCTCTCCTGGCTGGAAGATCTCAGGACCCGTAAGGGTAGAGATCACCCTGACTTTGGCTCTATTTTAAAGAGTTTTCCCAGCAACAGCATTTGTAGGTGACGCCTCAATGGATGCAATGAGATTCTCAGCCAGAGCCATGTTCAGTAACCAGGTGCCACCTATGGCTCTGACCTGGAAGGCTGATACCCACTCAAAGCAGGTTTCTATGACCTGCCAAGTTTACAGACTTCCTTCTTTTTTGGGAAAAGCTAGATGAAGTAGTGTCAGACAGCGTGGCAAAATCCAAACAGTCTCTCCCGATGCCACGTAATGGCTTCAGGAGAGAGTATAGACTGGCCCTCAGACAGAGATGCTCCTTTTAGCCTTCATCCTCACAGAAATACTAACAAAGGGAAAGCAGGTTCTCCAAAGGAAAGCCACAGAACCGAGGTTTGAGGTGAAAGTTCAGAGGGAATCCCACCCCTCCCAAAGCTTCTTTATGGTAAAGACTACATAGGCCTCTGCCCAGAGCTGAAACTAGGGGGTAGAATTTCCCATTTCCTGGAGGAATGGGTTGTATCAATCACAGACAAGTGAGTTAGGGATACTCCCTCGAGCTATGGGCTCTACCTCATCTGTTCCCCATCCAGTCCCCCATCTCCAACAACCCTGGAAAGCACAGTCTGATCCAGAATGAGATATCTCATCTTTTAGATATAGGCATGATAGAGAGCATCTCCTCAGAAGAAAGATTCTCAGGGTTCTATTATTCCATCTTCTTCATTGTTCGACAGCGCACAGGGGCAATCCAAGCCATTCTCAACCTCAAAAGGCAACAAGTGGATGAAGAAAATGAAGTTTTGGACGGAGACCCTGGCCTCTACTTTGTCATCCCTGTTCCAGAGGGATCTTCTGACTTCAATGGATCTGGTGGATGCATACCTCCATATTCCTATCAGACTGTGTCACCACAGATTTCTAAGGTTTGCTTATGGCAGGTAGCATTATCAATACTGGCCGTTCCCGTTCGGCCTGTCCTTGACTCCCAGGGTCCTTACAAAGATGGTGGTGGTAATCATACCCAGACTCAGGTCACAGAGTGTCTACATGTATCCTCTCCTGGACCACATCTTGAGCAAAGCTCCATCCCTGGCAACAGAGCACGGGGCCACGTCCCTGATGCTGAATCCCCTGCAAGCATACCGCTTTGTTATCAATGTCAAGAAAAGCTCCTTGACTCTGTCCACAAAAATAAGTCACCTGGGCATGTACATAGAGAGTTTAACAACAAAGATCTACCCATCACTAGAGACAGTGCTTTCCACATTGTTCTGGAGCTGCAAGAGGCCCACCAGAGCACTGGGCCTTCAACTGTGAGGCCTCCTAGTGTCATGCACAGAGGTCACTCCATGGGAACAATCACACATCAGGCGCCATCACAGCTTCATCTTAAAGGTGTGTGACCGCTTCCCATAACACTGGAAGGATCAAGTAAAGATCCCGACGCTGGTGCTCAGCTCCTGAAAATCGTTGTCAGCCCAGGGCAATGTCCACAAAGGTATGCCCATACGCTTTCCAGATCCTCTGGTTCTCACAACTGACACCAGCCTGGAGTGCTGGGAAGCACACATGGGAACCCAAACAGCTCAAGGCATCTGGAGCCTGGAGGAAAGAGCTCACAGAATAAACCTGGTGGATCTAAGAGTAGTAGTAGACTACACAAGAAGATCAGACTCCCTATTCATATCTTCCCACCTGAAATGCTAAGGACTCAGAGCTTCCAAGTCCTCCATTGCTAGATGGATTATGCTATGCATTGTGGAGGCTAAAAAGACATCAGAGATTCCAGTCTTGGAAGGGGTCAGGGCACACTTCACAAGATCTCTGCGTGGGCAGAAAGAGAAAATACATCCACATTGGCTATTTGCAAGGCAGCCACCTGGTCAATAGCTACTACCTTTATCAAGCACTATCAGCTTGCCATCCTGTCATCTGCAGAGGCTTCCTTTGGCAGGAAGGTTCTGCAGGCAGTGGCCCAGAAATTTTTCCCTTTCAGCAAAGCTGATGAACGAGGAAGGATACCTTTTTTCCTTTCTTCTTTCTGACCTTTTCTAGAACCCTCCTGACATCTGTTCACTGTCTCCTGCTTCTCAGACATCCAGAATTGTGGGCTGCAGAATGGAAAATGTCTTATTGATACTTCCATTTCTGCGAGCAGTGTCTTTCACAACTCTTATGAGCCAAACGATCAGATGCTGAGTGGGACAGCTTTGGAATAACTCATTTGCCAGCAAGTATGAGCAGAGGGAGTGTGGCCAAAGCAAATGGTTCCAAAACTTTGATCTGTCTCTGTTAGCTACAGACGAAGGGAGCAGCCCAGGTGTTCAGAATTGTGGGAGACTCGCTAGCAGAAAGGAAATTATGGGTAAGAAATTTTCCAATTTAAGTGGATTTACAGACCGAGATTAATTTGTCCCAATAGGCTTATCTACCAATCAAAGTAGTACTTTGAAAGCTGTGGATTCTCCATACACCCTCTTTTGGTCTGCCTTTAACCTCAAGATCTTGGAGTTGTAGCAACTATTCGTCTGCTGAGGAAAGCTTGATATGGCTTCCCTGGAAACAGTTAGTAACTCTCCTCCTGTCTGCTAGAGGGGATGTCACCATGCACAGAGCATCCTGCTCTCTAGAAGTCAGCGTGCTGCTCTTCAGCTGAGAACCAGAAGACTGAGCTATGATTTTGTCCTGAACGCTGATCTCGGTGTGGCAGTGCACTGCATCCAATGAGACTCCTGTGCCAGCACCACATTTTTCATGTTTCGAATGTATCAAGACATGAGTCTGCACGGCCTGTCATTTTAAATATCTTCATAATCATGGGTGCAACTCAGGATGCTGGATGCTCCATTTAGCTTTTTATACCCATAGACCATATATATGTATATTTGACGTGCACTCGGGTGGAATCTTGGCCCCACTGAAGTCAATGGGAGTTTTGATGTGGACTTTAATGGAGCCAGGATATCACCTTGAGAGTCTAAATAAACTGGAGTTAGAAGTCTGCTTTACAAGAGGTACAAAAAATGCAGGCATGTTTTGGCCTATGGCCTTCATGAGAGTCCAGACGCAGTCTTAATGTCCAAAGTTGAGAGAACCTTCATGTTAAGAATTAAAATCTGCACATATAGTTGTAGTTTCTCACATGAAGCAGTGCTAGTTGAAATCAATGTGACTTATTAAAAATAAAGAGATGCAACTGCGCCCGATACTGGCCTGGTGGTAATGCGCTATTTGGCCATGCAAGACCTCTGTGTTTAAGGAAAAATCACTTTTCCCCTATGCCTCAGAATCCTAGAGCTCTGGTATGGCCGACTGTCATATCAGCCAATGATGTCATGGCATCTTGTGTGTTCTCTTGTATCCTGGTACTTTACAGAAGAAATACAACTCAGGAGAAAAAAAACTTTCTGTATAAGCCAAGATCACAGTCATGGGGCCAAAATCACCCTTGGTTTAAGTGGCCACAATTCCAGTGCAGTTGCACCAGATGACACCGGGGTGGTGGAATTAGCTCCACCCAAAGTAACTGTGAATGTGAAACGTATTGCTTCAAGGGAATTATAAGACTGAAGTAAGGAATGAGAAACCACTGTTTAGGAAATGCGGCTGCTCCTGTGCGCAAGGCCAGGGCCAGCTCCCGCATTTCTGCCGCCCCAAGCAAAAAAAAAAAAGCCGCGATCGCAATCGGTGGCAGCAATTGGGAAAGAAAAAAAAAAAAGCCGCGATTGGCGGCGGCAGTTCTGCGGCAGGTCCTTCGCTCCTAGAGGAAGTGAGGGACCTGCCACCCCCGAATTGCCGCACATGCCGCCCCTCTCCCTTGGCCGCCCCAAGCACCTGCTTGTTAAGCTGGTGCCTGGAGCCGGCCCTGCGCAAGGCACAAGTCGTTGCCTGACTTCCCATTTTTCGAATATGCTAACACAATCTCTTGCAGAAGTCTAGCTAAACTTGTAACAACACAAAGTAGATTCCTCCATGTCTTTAGCTACAGTGGTGGTTTAGGTTTTAAATAAAACTGATTGGATTCAAATTACCCTTTTTTCCATGAAGGTTGAAGATTTCATTCCATGCCTGTTCCTCTTATTGTCTGCATCTAGAAATCAAGAGACAATTCTGTAAGAATGTAACATTCTTAGACAAAAGATAGATCATTTCACACTTAATTTTGACATCTCTGTTTCTGAGGACTATAAAGACAGACACTCTGGATAATAGTCACAGTATATTTTAGCTTCCCTGACTTTCTGACATTTCAGCTGGATGTACATTATTTCCATGAAATCTAAAATACTGCCTAATCACTAGAGCTGCCTAAAAAGACATGTAAATCTTTGTACATTTCCTCTAGGATTTCCTTCCTCCTAATTTGATTATAAAGCAAACTTCAGACTTTTAACTCTGCACTGCAGAGTAAATTACCCCTCCCAAGCTAGGGCTAACAGAAGGAAGTAAAAGATTTATTTAAAAAAAAGAAAAAATTCAAATAAGAGTTGTTATAAATAGTTCAGAAAGCAGTTTTAATCTACAAATGAACCCATGTTTATTTTAATACAACTCATGACTAGAACTATTTTGTGCATGTAAATTTACTCTGAGAAATTTAGCATATATCACCTCATATACAGTGGTCTTTCAAACTTTAACCAAGCAACTTCCTGAAAAACTCGGAAAAAAATCCTATACAGAAACCATTTTACTTGTGTGGCAGATTTTTGTTTGTTTGTAAAGTGTTTAATAACGTTTACATGAAAACAAGATCTTTGGTCTTGAAAGTTCACCTGCTCCCACTTCGTATTTGCTGCCAAAATGTGTCAGACTTTCTTAGATATCATGCTAGCTCCCATGGAAGTGATTCCACCATGGAAAACAGAGAATAATGACTTCTGGCAAGGAATAAGCAGCAAGAGCAGGTGAAGTATTGAGAAACAAAGATCCTGTTTTCATGTAAATGGCCCTAGTAACTAAAAACAAACAAACCAAACCAACCCACCAACTGGAAAGAGAAATGAAAAAGAGGCTATACAGTCCCTCTTTATTTTTAGAATCAACTGCCTCCTGTGTGGTCAAATCTGTGAAGGTATTACTAGTATACACCATTCTTTAGGGAGGAACTAATTGGTCCATTCTTGATACAGTGGGGCCAAATCTTCAAACTTGAGAGCCTAAAGTTAGGTATATAATTAAATGACCCAATTTTCATTGGTGCTGAGCACCCACAGCTTCCATTGACTCAAAAGGAGTTGTGGGCACTCAGAACTGTTTAAAAATAATTGTATCATTTATTTGGGCACTTAACTTTAGTCATCCAAGTTTGAAAATGTTCACTCATGCACATAAAGTACTGTTCACTAAGAGTGCTCCACTGTCTAAGAGTGCCTCATTGACCTGTAGCCATACCATCTTGTGGTATGATCCCATCAGATCTCACAAATTAAGCAAGATTAGTACTTGGTGAATATTCATTTGGGTTTAGTACACAATATAAAAGCACCTGTGGCATCAATTAAAAACACAATTTCATAAAACAAAATGTACACAAATCAGCAGAGCCACCCCCAACAAAAAAACAAAAGCACTTCCCCTTTTCCAGAAACATGACTCTCACTGCATCCTCCAAATGAAAATAGATAGAATTTTCAGCATTCTTTGCAGGTCAATTGCTCCAAACTATCTAAGACCAAGGTGAAGGAAGAAATATGTTTCAAAGACTCCCTCATGGACAACACTCCGCCTCCCTCCCCTTTTAAATTGAAGGCCTCCAGCTTAAGCACCTCTGCTGATATCAGTTACAGCAGTGTTGCATTGGGAAAGAGGCTGATCTCAGGCAAACAAATGGTACTATTGCACTTTTTTGACCTGAGCGGCTAGTAAAATTTTGGGGCCCTGAGGATGTTCCCATTGGAAGTAGGAATTGATGGAGTTTAGTATGGTCTTCGATGCAATCTTGTTTACTTGCAAGGAATGTACAAAATCCTTCTCTAAATGCAGGAGAAACCAAGAAAAAAAAGGAGCAGTTTCTTAGGGTTGGTCACACTCTATGAAGTTAACTTGACCTAAGTCATCTTGCATCAACCTATTTGTGCATGTGTCTATGCTCAAATTTGTGTCCTACCAACATAAGTGCCCCCTTACGGGGATGCAGTAACACCATCTCCCCAAACAACATTGAGTCATGGTTGACCTACTGTGGTCAATGCAATGCAAGTGTAAACACCATGTAACCTATGTCCACCCTTAACAGCCCTCCAGCAGCTGTCCCACAATGCCTGACACTGACCACTCTGGTCACAGTTGTGAACTCCAGTCTCCAGGGGTCACAGAGACCAGAAGTCACTACCCCCTTTAAGACTCTACATATTTTTTAAATTACTTTTCTTTATTGCCCAGCATGGTGAGCACACCTTGCATCTCTCCTTTGTTGTGTGCAGCTGCTCAACTGACCGTGCCGGATACATGCCCCAGATGTGCTCCTGCCTGGAGTAGACAGGAGGCATTGGCTCTGTTGGGCCCGTGGGAAGAAGAGGCTATGGAGCAATCGTACAAACATGGACCTCTACGAGCAGATTGCACGGGGGATGCTGGTGAAAGGGTACAACAGGGCTCAGCAGCGGTGCTGTGTGAAAGTGAAGGATCTGTGGCAGGCGTACCGGAAGGCCAGGGAGGCCAACATAAATCTGGTGCTGAGCTGCAGAGCTGCTGCTTTTTTAACGAGTTGCATGCCATATTTGGCAGAGACACCCCTACCACCACCACACACACAGAGCACTTTGGATACCTCCAAGGAGCCCCAGACACAGACCCCTGCTGTGTTCCCCCAGCAAGGAGAATGGGGGACATGCAACCTGGGGGTTCAGCTATGCCACAAGAGAGGATCTTTCCGAGACTCCACTGCAGTCTAGTCAATCCCAGCAGCTGAGCATGGGTGAGCCCGATGTCGGGGAAGGAACCTCAGGTAAGTGTGTGAACGCATGTCCCATTACAATGTTTAAATGAGCAGATGCTACCCAACCCCAGTGTAGCAGGACACAGGTGTTGACTTTTCAGTAATTTGCTCACACTAGAAGAGGTAGCGGTACAACAAACAGAGGTAGAGTTGTTATCTGCTTTTCATTCCCCTGTAGACTTAGTTGGGGAGGAGGGGAGAGGGGCACATACAGAGCAGTTTGTGTGTGTACACAGGGATGTCCCTTGAATCCTGCTGAGAGGTCGCAATGAAACTTTCATGGAAGAACTCTGCAATCCTCTCCCAAAGGCTTCTGGGGATGGCTGCCTTATTTCTTCCTCTTCCCCACGCCACTCCACAATGACTTTGGCAGGCACCATTGCAGTAAACAGGCTAGCAGTGTATGGGCCTGGATAGCTTAGGGACACCAGCAGCAGCTGTGCTCTCTGTGTCTTTGTTGCCCTCAGGAGCAAGATATCAGCTAGAATCACCACCGCCTATGGAAAGTAGCACCAGTGCTCAGTGCCATTACCCTGCATCATACTCATAGAAATATGGGCTGAAATTTTATTGTTTCATGCAACAGAACGATTCCTTCCTCGTTGCCAGTCCTTCCCTCACTGGGCCACACAGCACCATCGCTCAGGCTGGAGGGGCGGTGCTGTGCAGAGGCGCATTAAGGCTGAAGTGTCAATAAGCATGTCTTGTTTAAAACTTTAGTGGAGCAAGGGGAAAGAGTTCTGAAACTTAACTTTCACTTCCCATTGTGGCTCTAAATACAATGATACCTCTGGGTGTTCCATCTGTAACTGCTGCTGCTATGGCCAAGAGGGGTCCCCCTCCACCCACACAGAATGCCTGACCATAATAAGGAGAAAGAAGAGGACACAGGCGGATCTATTCTAGTGAGGTCCTGCAAGCCAGTGCTGCACTGGGACTGAAGGGTGAATGTTGCAGACAGTATGGCGAGAGGCCCTGGAGTGGAAGAAGATGCATCTCTGACAACAAACACGAATGCTGCACACTCTTACTGACCTACAGATCCAACAGTCACAGTCTCTCCCACTTTATAGTCAGTGGAGAACTCTATTCTAGCACCTGCTCCACACCTCTCAACATTCCACATGGCATCAAGGGCTTCATCCCTAAGCCTACCTCTACACGCTGGGGGACAATAAGGGGAACCACAGCTTCACATACGCTCACCGATGAGAGCTATGATTGCTGTATATGTAGCCAAAATGAATGAAAATGGCCATGAACGTTCTTTCCCCTATTATGTTCATTTATTTCAGACATAATAATAATATATGGAGATATACCTATCTCATAGAACTGGAAGGGACCTTGAAAGGTCATCAAGTCCAGTCCCCTGCCTTCACTAGCAGGACCACGTACTGTCCCTGATAGGCGCACACACACACCCCTAAATGGCCCCCTCAAGGACTGAACTCACAACCCTGGGTTTAGCAGGCCAATGCTCAAACCACTAAGCTATCTCTCCCTCCCTCGCCCCCATTTTTATTCTGTTTTTTAATTGCACATTGGTTTTTTGCACCACTTTTGGTATGCAAGAAAGATCTATTTTTTGGTAAATAATTCATCTTTATTACTTAACAACACATGCTGCAGAATGCCTATTGCTTCTCAAAGCACCCACTACTAGTTCTTGTACAGAGTGACAGAACTCAGGATCAGTGACAAACAGGGTACTAATTATAATTGTACAGCGAGTACTGCAGAATTATTAGGTGCATTAACAGACAGTGTTATATTCATAAATGTACACCAAGCACCACACAATTCCTAATAGCCACCAAAAGTTCAGGGCCAGGTACAGCACAACAGTCCTCCACGCCACATTACTGTGCCTGACTGTTAAGTGCTCTTTCAAGGCTTCCCTCAGCCGCATAGCTCTGCATTGAGGTCTTCTACTAGCCCTTGTGTTTGGCTATTCCAACTCAGCAGATTCCAACTCACTCCACCACTTCCCTCCTGGCAGCAACTTCCCCACTTTGCCTCACAGATATTATGCAGGACAGAACAGGCAGCTATACCCATTGGGATATTTTTCTCACTGAGATTCAATCTATTGCATAAACACCTCCAGCATCCCTTCAATCTACCAAAAGCACATTCAACTCTCATTC